GTGTTAATGGAAATTGGGGTCCGTCCACAAGATTTGATCGCACGTTCAAGGTACGGAAAAGGGTATTTTTGGCAAAAAAAATAAACCTTTTCAGTTGAGGGGTTTTAGTAAGGAAAGTTGGTTTTTTAAAAAAATGAGTAAAAAAAATTAGGGTAGGGGTAGAAGGTCTTAAAAGCTCATTCTGGGGGATTTTTAATAATTTTCCCTATAATCTTTTGACATATATATTATTTCAAGTGAATAATAAAGTAGGAAAATGTATTGTGCTCTCCTCTTTTAAATGCATGAAACATGCTTTATATTTTCCTTGGATTTAAATAGCTCCCAAACCGTCTGATATCAACAACTTAAGGTGGTGAGTGCTGTTTCGGAAGATATTCCAAAGCTGGATAAAGGGTTTGGTTTGCATAAGGTTGCAACCTTAAACCGTCAAAGTGAGTTGAATCTCCAAATTTTCTCTTAAGATGTAGTTTTCATGTAACAAATTCTTCAGATAGCTTAAATATTTATTTTCATCTCTAATTATAAAAGTTCGGACTTCAAAATTGGTTTAAATCAAGTAGATTTTTAAACACATGAAGATATTGAAAATGGAAGGTCCAAATAATGTGTTGCAAAATGTATAATTTGTTACATGGAAATTTTTTTTTTTTTTTTTCATTTTCATAGGTCTCAATGTCGAGATGATCAATTAGAGGGTTTTCCAACATTAACATAGCCTTTTCCGATGAATTTTTTAGATACACCTTATTTCTACATTATGAAGTTTCAACCTTATATAAACTTGAGTACCACAAAACATGAACCCTTAAATGATGACTCAAGTTAATTTTCACTATTTATCTAGCTCCACGTTTATTAAGCCCTGATTAAGGATAGAGACATGAGAGATTTAACTAGGGTAGGGCCCTATAAGGAGATAGATTTTAGGTGGGATTCCTATTGAGGGGGACCTCATAAACATGAATTCAAGATAACACTAATAAACACTCGCATTAGATATTTCATTGGAACTATGTAAGAAAAAACCTAACTGAATAACCACATTCTCCTTTTTAAGATAATTATTGTTTATTTTGGGGAATACCATTTGTATTGGAAACCTAATCCGTTGTTCCCAAATTTTCATGAACTTATATTTTGGAAAATACTATTCTATATGTCCCTTGTCCACAATCCCTCACAGCATTTGGAAACATGCATAGCTTGCACCTCTTGCTCATTTCACTAATTGGAATGAGGCTATAGATGTTAAACTAGGGGGATGTTCTTTTTTTATTTTTTTATTTTTATTTAGGGTAATTAACTAGGGGGATGTTTTTATATGAAACATTGTACATATAGCTGAGACTAGCCATACTTTATCGGATGGAATGTTGGTTGACAAGAAATAACACATTCATCAGACAAACATAGTTGAGACGTGGATTTTTTAGATGGATGAGTGGCAAGACAATAAGGAATAGAACTAAGAATGAATACATACAAGGGAAATGTGGAAAGTAGACGTAAGAGGGGTTGACATGTACAGTGTAAACCTAATACAACACTGCTTAGGAGGTATCATTTGGTTCAAGTGGAAGGTTTTAAAAGAGCAAAAAAAAAGCCCAAAAAAACATGGATATAAGTAGTGAGAAATTGGAATAAAACTTGGATGTTGATAATAATTCTACATATAGCTGAATTTGGTTTTGGGCATTGGACAAGTGGACTACAATCCATAAGGTCCTTATCACTTGTGCAACATATTCTCCACTATTGGTGCCAATGGACGATGATGATAATCACTAGATTTTTTCAACTCACATGTATATGAACTAAGGTTTTATTTATGGGCAAGTCGACTCAGACGGGTGACCTAGACTCCGACTTGGTAGGTCACCGCCACTGTTTTCACCCAAAATTGGGGGAGTCGGCCCGATATCCTTCTTTCTTTTTTTTCTTTTCCGTTATAAGAATTGAAGAAATGAATAAAAACAAAAGTTAAGTTTCTTGTTGAACCTTTTTTGATCAAATTGTGATCTTCTCTACAAAAAAAAAAAAATCCTCCCAATCACTCGTATAAATAACCTTAAGGTATCGATGAGGGAGAGGTTTTAGGGGCAAAATTTCACATTTATTGACCCCAAAAAGCGTAATCTGCTATACCTTATTGTTCTAGCTCAAATCTCAACTAAAAAACTTGGAATTTGTTTCAGAACGGTGGTAATTGAGCCTCAAATCTCAACCAAAAAACTTGGAATTTGTTTCATAATGTTGGTAATTGAGCCCACTAGTAAAGCCCAAGGGGGAATGGGAGAAAAATTTTGATTTGGGTGAGCTTTTAGAATCAAACTTTAGGCTTGACCCCCAAAACCCATCATTCTTTGTTGTTCTGCCTCGAATATTAACCAAATAATTCAAAATTTGTTACAAATTATTGATAATTGATCCTATTGAGAATGCCCTAGATAATTTGGTTCAAACATTTTATTTTTAGTATGTTTTAACATTCAAAATTTGTGTTTTTTGAGGCCCAAAACCCTAATCCACCATTCTTCATTGTTATCTCTCGTATCTCATCCAGACAATTTGAAATTTATTTCAAACTATTCCCAATTTGATCCTACCAACTAATCCCTTTACAAATTTGCTTGATCGATTAGAAAATATAGGGAGATATAAGCTCAATTGTTCTGAAAAAAATGCCTCAAGTAGTTGAATAAAATTTATTCAACTACTGTTAATGTTCAAATTTGTTTGGGTTTCTACTCTCGACTGTATTAGAATTGATTTAGGTAATTTTTATTAATTTTTCCCTTGATTTTTTATGAAATTGATATTCTATTGCTCAATTCAGTAATTTTTTGAAAATATGCCTTGTATTTTTCAAGGAATTTTCATAAATATTATATTTAATTGCTCTTACAATTTTTGTTATAAAAATGTGTTAGATAAGTTTTATAATATTTTGTTGGTTTTTCCTTTATTTTTTTAAATATTTTTGTTTTTTTGCTTCATTTTCGTTTATTTTTTAAGAGAAAGCTCGACTAGAATGTTGAAATAATTATTTTTATATATTTTTTAATAATTGTATATTTTTTAATCAAAATAGGCAATGTAGGAATTATTGCATTTTTATTGTGAAATGACCACGTTCCACTCAAACTAGAATCAAACTCTCGGTATTCATATGCGTTTAATAATTTTATCATTAGCAATTTTTTTTATTAACAAGCCAAGTCATTTTGATTTTTAAATTATTTTCATATTTTTTCTTTCTTTCTTTTAAATTACAATGTTACTTGTGGAGGTTAGGATGTAATAATCTATATTATATATTTTATTTGGATGGTGCAGATTTAATATTAAGTTTTGACTTTAAATGTTAAGAAGAAAATATTGACTTTTGACCTTAAATATTCGAATCTAAGACTTCGAGTCTCAACTTCATATTAGAGGATTCAAACACAACGACTTGACTTTTCATTTGGGATGTTCAAAGGCCTCAAATAGGGCATTTATTATAGGAGGCCACAATTACTTATAACCATCCAGAGTGAAATATGATAGCTCAAGTGTGTCATAGAGTTCTAGAATTTTTTATTTTTTTTAGTTTGGTCAATAGAATAATTACAACAACTCAATTTCACATCCAATAGTCTAAGATTAACTAGAACCTCCTTGTACTAAACGTAAATGTTATCGCTATATACTTTTCCTTTCCTTAAAAAGTATAAAAAAAAAATAAAGGGTTCGTAATCAATGAAGTTTCTATAAGGCCTATGTTTTATGAAACAAAATAATACCTCTACCTCAAATCCTAATTCGGAAAGCACTTTTGGCATTGGAAATTTATATGATGGCTCTGAAATCAATTTGCAACACCAATAATAAAATTAGAAACTAAAAAAATGATACCTATCTTGTGGATAAGTGAACACTTATTTCTAGGGCAAATTAGATGGTCTGGATATTTTGTTGCAATATACACTATTTTAGAGACTTGAAATTCTAAATTTTTTTTATAACCACAATGTTCAAGCTGAGAAGATCAATTTAAATGTTGGAAAAAGTTTATATAGAGCTAATGCTCTAAACAATCAAATTAGAGCCCACCTCAAACATTTCAGTAGAAGAGGCTGTTTCGATGCCTAAATATCCTCAAAATGATAATCATGACATGAAGGTGCACGGATATGAGAAAAAATGGATTTCAAGTTTTGGAAAATAATGCATCTCCTAACATATTTTTTGACCATCAATTTTTAAGATATGCTCGATCCACACTATTGTTAAAGCTTTAAATTTTATAACTAAAGATGAAAATATATTTTAAAGCTATCACCAAGATTTTCGATATTGAAATCATATTTCTTGATACTATAAGGTGGGCTTTATTTTGATTTTTTAGAGCCCCGCCTCTATACAACGGCACCCGTAAAGGTTTCCAATGCTTAAATTACATTTTGAAAAAAGTTTATATAGAGCGAGCCTCTAAACAATCAAATTAGACTCCTCTTCAAAAATTTCACTAGAAGATGTTTTGAAGGTCAAATATTCTCAATTTTATCATCTCGAAATCAAGATGCATAGATACGAGAAAAAATGGATTTCAAGTTGTGGAAATAGTGCCTTTTGTAACACATTTTTGGACCGTCAATTTTTAAGATTTCATAGATATGCTCGATTTACCTTATTTTTAAAAAATTTAATTTGATAATTAAAAATAAAAATATATTTTAAGGCCATCAAAAAGATTTTCAGTATCAAAACCACATTTCTTAACAATATTTAAAGGTGCATTTTACTTTGATCGTTTAGAGCCTCGCTCTATACAAACCGCACCTGTAAAGGTTTCCGATGCTTCGAATTATATTTTTCTACGAGTTATGAGGTGAGGCACGAGTTATGAGGTGAGGCTTTATTTATTAAATTTAATAGGGCTGCGGCCCTATCAAACAATTTTCCTTTTATAGAATACATGGAGCGTAAATTTCAAAATTTCATAACATTAAGGGTGCTCAACAAATTTTGCCCAACAACGGGAACTTTTCCGTCATTTACCACACGAAAGGAACCAGGGTTTAGAGTTTTGAGCAAGGCCCTGAGACTGTCATGGCGACGGCGCTGAGCCGAGCCGGCTACGCCGGCTTCTTGAGCCGATCTCTCTCTCTCTTCACAATGAGAACCTTTAGCACGGCTTCTACTTCGGCTCCTTCCGAGTCGGCTCAAGCTTCGGCTCAAAAGAAGCCGAAGAGAAGAAAGAAGAAAAACTTATTTGAGGTTGCTCAGTTCTTGCCAAATTGGGGTATTGGCTATCAATTGGCTAAGAATCATTGGGCTCATGGTTTTTATTACCAGATCACTAAGGTTAATCTATACAAGGTGATCAAATGCTTATTTTTTTTAATTTTTAAATTCAGTTTTGCCCCATTTTAGTTTTAGTTTTTTTTTTTTTCGATTTTTTGAGCCTTTGTGTTTTGATATTTCTGATGAATTAGGGTTTTTTTGAGTCTCAGAATGTTTTTGAAAGAGAGATTGGGGTAATGGCTTCAATAATCAGTGTGGGGTTTATCTCTGTAAGGTTTTCAAATGCTTGGTTTTTTCTTTTTTATTTAGTTGGCCCCTTTTCTATATGTTTTTAGTTTTCTAATTTTTTTGTTTTTTTGGGTTTCTATCAATTAGGGTTGTCTTTCATACCTGCATCTGCTCAAAAGATGCTTTGTATTTTTTGTAATAATTTTGTTTTGGTTTTTGCTTCTTGGTTCTTTCGCTTTTTCCTCTTTCTTGACTAGGGTTTTTGGTTCTCTGCAAGGTCTCTAAACATTTACTTTTCTGCCTTTTTCACGTGTTATTTTGTCTCAATCTTTTTGGAGATAAACTCTAGTTTATACGATGATTTGGCTTTCTCAATCTCAGATGGCCTTAAAACTTCAAACCTTCAATGTGCCCCCCTAGTTAATAATTTCCGGATTTTTATGCCCCTGTTTCCTGCGGGCATGTTCTTTGTTTATTAACCTTTTTTTTTTGTTTGTTCACATTGATCCTATTGCTCTTTTTTTTTTTTTTTAAGAAAAAGGTTATCAAATTATTGTTATTTATTTGCTTGTTTATTTTTCTTGTACAGGATGGGCGCCATGGTAAGGCTTGGGGTATATTCCATAAAGCTCGTAAGTTGTAGTGAAATACTTGTAATTGTTTTTTTGTTTGTATAATGTTTATAATGACTGGTTAACATTTTTCAAAAAAAAAATGTTTATAGAGACTGGTACAAATAAGAATGGTGGAAATTTACTATGGATTTAAATAAAATTTGAATGGAAATGATATGCTGAGCCTTTGAACAGGATGGAAGAATTGCAGAATTAGTGAGTGCAAGAAGTGAATTTATCTTTTGAATGAGAAATAATCAAATAGTTAGAACTTAGCAGTGGCGTATAAACAGAAATTTGGTGAAATATAGAGCAGCAAGCGATTGTAGGAAGATGGTATATTTTTTAAAGAGCTTGTGTCATTTGGCTATTTTAACTTTTTGAGTGGATGGGGAGCATTTGTTTTCCTTTAATTAGTCCATTCTTCATTGCTTCATATTTGGTGGTGGTTTGGTTAGCAAATTGGCTTCGTTAAGTGTTTTTATATGGATAGGGTTCATGGGATACTAGGGATACTAGGCAACTCTTGGCCCACTAACGGTGTTACCCAAAACAAAATTAGTCTTGGATCATGGTATTAAACATATTATATTTAAATGACCAACATTAAGTTTGTGTACTAAACACCCCTCTGTAGCTCAGCATGTCATTCCATTACCCTTGCATTTTTATGGACACTAATGTCCTCAATTGTTTAAAAGTTTATATCGAATTTTTTTCTTCGACATTGAGTTGCTTGAATGGTGAAGATGCTTTGTATGATATGACAAAAGATGATGGAATATATTGGGTGATTGAAGCTCTACTAGAGCGACGGGACAAGAGTCAAAACTAGGGATTCCTTCAAAAAAAGACGAGACTTAAAACCAGGGAGGAACATCTTGTAGGAAGGAGCCATACAAAATAGAGGTTCCAAAATGGGTGATATGATCGAAGATGGGCTGAAATGAAATGGATGCCTAGAGTGGGGAAACTTGAGAAGAAGATGCCACAAAGGCTCATGTTTTCTCTTCTACTTTCCAAAGTTGAGAAAAATCTTAAACTGGCGAGGAGTAAAATTAAAGAAAGCTTTGGGATGGCTAGTCAATGGCCTCAAAGATGCTCTTCGGTAAGAAATTTTCTTAGAAATCCTATAAATGGCAAGGTGCTTATGCCTAAAAAGCAACAACAATGGTTCATAGGGACCTTTTGATGAGTATTTGGAGTCTCGGGCGATTTTTGAGTTTTTCTAAATTTTATGGCAGGTCTTTAACTCACTCCACTGACAGGGGCTCCAAACCCTTCCGGTTTGAGCTTGTTTGGTTGGGAGAGTCATCTTTATCCTCTCTTGTCTCTCAAGTAGTGGGACTTCTTCTCACCTTTAGTCTCAAGTAGGGCAGGATTCATCCTTCAAAGAAAAATCCAACTTCTGAAAGCAGCCCTCAAAACTTGGAGTAGAACCATTCTTGTGAGTGAAGTGGGTTAAGGACCTGCCATAAAATTTAGAAAAGCTCAAAAATCGCTTGAAACCCCAGATACTCATCAAAAGGTCCTTATGAATCACTGTTGCTGCTTTTTAGGAATAAGCACCTTGCTATTTATAGGATTTCTAAGAAAATTTCTTACCCAAAACTATCAAAAGAATCCTGGCCCCTGTCCACCTTTATGTCTAACCTTTGAACCCAACTTAAACTCGACTACTTCTCAATCCTTAAAAAAGAAGAGATTTTTTTGTTCCAGAGTCGAATGGCTCTGCCATGGTGACCACAATATTGGCTATTTCCATATAATAGCAAATTGTCGGCATAGGGAGAACTCCATCTCCATGCTTAAGGTGGGCAATACCGTACTGGACAAACCATCAGAGATAGAAGCAGCTATCCTCTCCTTCTATCGCTTCCTCTATTCGGCTCCACTGGACCCGAGGCCTAGGATGGGGGACCTTCAGTTTCTCACTGTCCCCAATTATTGGGCCCGATGGTTGGAGAGGCCCTTCTCAGAACAAGAAATTCTAGATGCCATAACGGGCTTGGGCAAAGACAAAGCCCCAAGCCTGGATGGCTTTCCTATAGCCCCCTTCAAGATCTTCTGGGATACCTTTGAGCCCGACTTTCTCAAGTTCTTTGATGAATTCTCCATTGGGGCATCCTTCACAATGCGATGAATGCGACTTTTATCGCCTTGGTACCCAAAGTTGAAGGGGCTGAGGAACTCAAGGATTTCAAACCCATCAGTTTGGTCAACTCAAGCTATAACATTTTGTCCAAAGTGCTGGCCTCTAGGCTCAAAGAGGTGCTACCCTTGGTGATTTCCTTAAATCAAAGTGGTTTCATTAAAGAAAGGCAGATCCTTGACGGGGTCCTGGTGGCTCACGAGTGCATACACTCTTGACATCTTGCCAAAAAACCCGATCTTAACTTTAAGATTGACTGGGAAAAATCCTAAGATAACGTCGACTTGTCGATCTTGGACAAGACAATGGCTAGGATGGGGTTTGGGAATCGCTGGAGAAAGTGGATGAGGGCTGTTACTCCCATCCCTACTTCTTTGTGCTGATCAACGGTACACCAAGAGGTTTTTTCCCCTCATCTAGGGGCCTAAGGCAAGGGCATCCTCTCTCCGCTTTCCTCTTTGCAATCTTAGCCGAGGTGTTCAGCCAATCTATCTCTCGAACGTACCAGTCGGACCTTCTTTCTGGGTTCAAGAGCAGTCTAAGAGGTCCTACTGTAACGCATTTATAGTATGCTGATGATCCCTTGGTGTTCATCGATGCAGTACCACATCAAATCGAGTACTTGCGCCTATTCCTTAAGTGCTTCGAATATGCCACTGGCTTCAAGGTTAATATGGAGAAGTCCACTATGATAGGGGTGGTTCTTTCTCTATCGGAGACAAAAGCGCTTATCCCACAATGGACGTGCAAAATCGAAGAACTTCCAACCACCTACCTAGGGATGCCTTTGGGGATAGGGAATCCTAAAAAGAGACAGTGGTCTCATGTTATAGACAGCGTCTGCTGTTTAGCCGGTTGGAAAGGCAGGTTCTTAACCTTCATTGGAAGAACAACGCTCATAAAGGCTACAATGTCCAATACTCCGGTGCATCTTATGTCCCAATTCCATATACTGGCAACAGTAGCCAACCATCTGGAACAACTTATGAGGAACTTTCTTGGGCCAGGTGAGGCTGATTCTTCTAAGTTTCACGTTGTATCTTGGGAGAGAGTGTGCCAACCTAAGCACTTGGGAGGACAAGGGATTAGGATCTTGAGAAAACAGAATACGACACTACTTGGCAAATGGTGGTGGCGTCTAGTGAACCACAACAATATGCTTTGGTCCCAAGTGATATGGTGCAAATACAGTAGCCCACCTAATGCCTGGCTGTCGGAGGAACTTCTAGGGAGTGGAAATCCTTTATTTCAACCCTCTCTCTATTGCAGCAAAATGTTCGGTTCCACCCAAGGGGTGGTCATAGAATGTGCTTCTGGTCAGACGTTTGGCTGGGTCATACTCCCCTGAGGGACAGGTTCCCTTCTTTATTTTCCTTGGCTTCCAATCCCTCCTCCATCGCAGAAGAGCTTCCTGGTTCAAGGGGTCTCAGGGTATGGAACCCCTCTTTAGATGGTCCCTTTTCGACTCCGAATTCCTTGAGTTTACCTTGCTGGCCTCCTTATGGCATGCCACTTTCTTGGCCCCTTCTGGACCGACAGAATGATCTGGACTCCCTTACCCTCGGGTGTTTTCTCGATAACTTCTTTTTACAAAAGGTTGTTGGAACCGCCCACCTACCCCCTATCCACAACATCCGTCGTCTTCAAGGTGTGGTCCTCTATTGCCCCACCTAAGGTGGAGGCTTTTAACTGGATTGCGAGCTCCAAAAGAGCCCTCACGGTCGACCAGCTCCAACGGAGGGGTATCCCTATTCCCAACCGTTGTGTTATGTGCAGTTGTGAAGAAGAGACTAATCCTCACCTCTTCATCCACTGCAACTTCGCCCTTAGCCTATAGAGCAAACTCCTCGGACTCTTTGGTCTGACCTGGGTCACTTCTTGCCTCCATCCCAACTCTCCTTCTTCTTGCGGTGGACACTCCATGGCCCATGGTGGGCATCCATAGCTGCTACGATTTGGGAAATCTGGACCGAAAGAAACTCGAGGATTTTTCGAGGAGTCAAAAGAGAGGTCTCGGCCTTTTTCCACAAAATCGCCTCCCTAGTGAATTTCTAGGTCACCAACCACAAAGCCTTCAAAGATGTCTCGGCTATGGCTCTCGTTCATAGTTGTGAAAATGTCATCCATTTCCAACCCCGTCGGGTGGCGAGAGCAGACAATTGCAGTCCTCCTCCGGTAGGCCACACCAAACTTAATTTTGACGGTGTTCCCTTGGGAATCCCGGACCATCAGGAATAGGAGGGGTCTTTCAAGAACACCTCGGAAACATCCTGGCTTCCTACTCTACGTATATCGGCCATGCTGATTCTCAGCTGGCCGAGTCCTTGGCACTCCTCTCGAGACACTTCACTCTGGTTGGGACCTACCCTTGCTAGTAGAAGGAGATGCCAGAAATATCATAACTTGGGCTGCTGATCGCGCCCCTCCTCCTTGGTACCTTGCTTCGATCTTTGATGAGATTTTCTCACATCTGCAGGGATATTCCCGTCTTATGGAGGCATACTTGAAGGGAATCAAACACCCCCGCAGACCAGCTAGCTAGGGATGGAGTACTCGCACAGACCACAGATCTTGGAGCATCGGGGACTGACCTTTAGAAGACTACGGCTTTTATTTTGCCACCACAGGACTGGTTTTGGTCCCATCTCTAGGACCTCTCCCTCCTTTGGCTTTTTGTATATCTTTGTGATGGGCGATTGCTATAAGTCCCTCTATGGCTCTCTTTGTACATTGTTGTAATGGGCGATCGCTATAAGCCTCAATTTTTTGTATAGGGTTACCTTCCTAGGGTAGCCTGATTTTTTGCCGGGAGGCCCGGGCTTTGGGTTTCTCAGACTAACCTTTGTACTCCCCTTTTCTTCTATACAACAGTTAACAATTTCAAAAAAAAAGAAAAAAAAAAAGTGTAAACATCTCGAGTCAAGGGAATTTTTTTAAGTTTTCTTGATGAGAGCGATGTTCTTGGAAAGTAATCATAGCGGTCTATTCATTTATCTAACTGATGTAGAAAAGGGTAAAAATTCCTTATAATGAAATGGCATAGCAGCGTATATTGTGCACTCAACATTCTTTACAATTGCCCTCCTTGGAACTCCTCTTAATAGAAATAAGGAACCCATCAACTAGGAACTCCTCTTAATAGAAATAAGGAACCCATCAAGTACTTCATATATATTTTCTTCTCAATCAGAAAGTTGGGAAGATCCTAGGGTATTTTCACGAAGATAAAGCATTTTGAAGCATGCATTCTGCATTGGATTTGAGATTTGATGCTATGGTGATTGAAGCAAGTTAAAACAAAAATCAATTTGTCCAAACAAGTCTCATCGAGTAACACCTGTTGCCCTTGCACTCTTAGGGCCTAGGGCATCTTCACATCAATTTCGTGGTGATGTTATGCATCTTCAGAGGGTATGCATGAATATTTGAGGTTTGATAATATAATGGGGTTTTGAAACTCTTCCGTCAATTGGGTCACTGAAACACATAATGCATTCAGCTTCATTCAGTGTTCCAAAAAATTCCCGGCGGCGCCTATGCAGCCGGCGGGGTCTAGGCCGCCCAGCGCCTAGGTGGCTGCCCAGAACCTGCGGTGTAGGTTAAAATGGGGCAAATGGTGTCCAATAACCTTGTTTTAGGTACATATTTTGTATTAAATATGCATATTCATGCATTTTTATAATCCACACAAAAAAAAAAACCAAAATAGCCCACCCGAAGGGTATTTATTTACCTAGCCGGCGCAGTCCCTTGGGCGCTTGCCCAGGGACCCTAAGCGGGCGCCCAAAGACAGTCCGCCTAGTTGGTTTGCCCAGGCTTGGGCAGTGGGCCCGAGCCCCCCATCCCGCCTAGGTGCTGGGCGGACCGCTTTTTGAATCAATGGCTTGAGTCCATTTATATCTAAACTGTCCTACTCCTATCATAACATCAGAAGAACTAATGGACCCCGGCTTAGGTTTGATTGGAACATTGTCCAACAAATTTGTGGGCTCCACTTGTGAAGCAAATAAGTTGGGCCAACTTAAAATTGTTTCTGATTATCTTTGTAGTTTAGAAAACCAAGTCGTCTTGCTTAGCTATGAAAAAAGGAGTTGCATGCATAGTCCCAACGATTAGGACCCAGTCAGAACTTTGAAATAAGTATGATTGTTCCACCAAGCACATTGTTCCTCTTGACCAAAGATCTTACTGCCTTTGTGGTGAAAACATTACCCCATCTTTGTGAGGTCTAATGGCTTTATGATCTCTGTTAGATACCACCAACATATGGTATACAGTGTGGAAGACAAGAAGTGAACAACGAAACACCACTGCAAGCAGCATGGTCTTCCAAAAATGTTGTTTCTGCATTCCATTGCTACTATGACAATTGTGTGAACTATGATGGATTTGGGTTGCGTAAGCAACAACCTATCATGATACTCAACATTGATAATTTTGTAAATATTACTACAAGACATAAGGTACTTTTGTCATCTCCATAAAGGGTAAAATTGAAATTTTAACTAAAGGACAAGGGTGCTCTACAAATAAAGTTCCAGGATACTAACTTCCAAAATGCCATTGTAGTTTTGTGAAAATTTCAAATTTGCCCTTGTTTAATGGTAAAGTTACCAATTTAAATAATATTTTAATAAAAAAATAATGATTGTTTTGATAAATACACACATCACAACCCCTTTTAATTTGAACCTTTGTATTTTGAGAGGTTGTTAACTCTAGACAAACCCCTTATATATATATATATATGTATATGGATCATCTTTTACGATACATTTCCAGAGGGTGACCGCAACACGTGCTATCTTAGGGCCAGCCTCAGTAGAAAATTTCAGTGGAAGCGGAAGCCAGTTCCTGAGCTCATATGACCTTGAGGCCTTCTTGAGTTGTTGCTTTGAGGTATTGCTTTCTGGGGAATGGTAGACCAGGGATTTGAGGCCCCTGGATGGCGTTCTCCTGTGGTTGCTTTTTTTTTCCTTGAATTGAACTTATGGTAGAGAAGGGGCCAGTTTATCTGGCTAAGAAAGAAGTCAAGCCATGGTTCTTACAGTGGGGTATTATAGAAGATGTATTTTGAACCCTCTGAGGTTCTGACATAGTTCTTGGAGCCTAATGGCTTTGGACATAGAGTCCATATCCAGTGTGTGACTTTTAGAATCTGTGAATGCCAATTAGCATCTAGGTAAGTCAATATACTTTTTAGGGGATTATGGGTCTGTTGTGGCCTTTTAGTCTTCTCTTTAGATGGTTTTTAATGGATTTCATAGAATTTTACCTTATTGTTTTCTGTAGAGCTTCTGGCTAACTTCAAGCCCTGAGCGTCCTGAATACATGGCTCTTGGACCAATATGTGCAGATCTTTGGGGCTTCCTAGAAATTGTTACCCCATCAATTGCATGACCATGCTATCCAACTATTCAGAAGCCAGTCTCTGAACCGTAGTCAATGTACCTTTTGTTCTGATGCGTCTTACATAGATAAATATATGACAAATAAACTGAGAAGTTGAGAAGCTATTACATGAAATGGTGAAGCAGGAATTCCGCAATTCTATCATTACTTACTCTCACTGGTTCTACAAAGTGATTAAAAACTCAGCAAACCTGACTTGGACTCAACCAAGACTGGGATGCTCCTAGTCGGTCCGAGTATTTACAAAAATCGAGTGTATATTCTTCAAATTTCCGAGGACGAGACTCACTGAATCAACTTGGGGCTTGTCAAGCCAACGTGCCCTGGGCAGTGGGCTAGTTCTGGAGCGAGTCCGAGGTTTTAAACACTGGTTCTAGTAGCTCAAAAGTATTACTAGTAAAGGCAAATTCATGTGAATGTGAACTTTAGAGCCTTGAAAAGCAGCATTGCCAAAAAAAAAAAAAAAGCTCCAGAAATAAACATCATCATATGAGGTTGGCCCCAGCAGGATTGTCAAAAGTGAGCACATATTACAGAAACTTTTCTACTCTGAGGGCTATTTCAAATTCCATATCATGACCTTTGGCCTAGCAAAGGCATGCCCGATGTTACAAAGCTGAATGAATGAAGAATAACACTATTTCAAACTTAAAAAAAGAAACCACAGCTGTATATCTTGATGACACACTTATTTGCAGTAGAACACTGTGGGACATTCATTTCAATCCATTGTGAACTTCATTGACATGTCTAGTATCTGTTGGACAGCAAAATAGTGGAGTACTTTGGTCTCAACATTGCTAGAAAGTTGGTGGTTTGTCAACTTTTTAAAACCTTTAACATTTACAAAGTGGATTCTTAGACTCCCATAATGTTATTAGAACTCTGGGTTTTTTGTCAGGGTATGCGCCGAGCTTCATCTGAAATCTTGTGAATGTATGTATGTATGCACGTATGAGATAAAAACCAGAAGAAGTGAACTTCAACTTGATCCAAATCTGGTTCATTTGTTATAGGATTTAGGTGTTGGTTCATTTGAATGCATCATTCAAGGGCATGCATGCAAGTGAGAAATCTGAGCCATCCATTTGAGAATCACTCTGATTTACCATGTACTGTAGTTCTATTGGTTATTCTGGAGTTCGTGGAGAAACCTGTTCACCTTTTTTCCTGGATCATTGCAGATGTCCCAACTGCAGAGACTCCAAACAAGATAAGCGGAGTTCATAAAAGAGGATGGAGGTATATTCCGCACTCTAAAAAGACCATCAAGGATGAATCAAGATCTGAAGTGCAGGCTTGACTCTGTCTGTCTTTCTCTGTCTCACACATATTTCAGGGGTTTCAGTAGGCCCTTACCCTCCTGTTGATCAGCTAAAACAAAGAAACATGGAGGGATTGCAGACTAGCCAAATCGAGCCATGTAGCTTCCTTTGTTGCCTATTAATTTTTTTTTTTTTTGTTTCTCTTCTTTTCCTTTTCCTGTCTAATGTTAATCAATATGGTTGTTCTTTCTCTCATATCCATCAATGAGCATACCCATATGTACTGATTCAATGCGGCTTGTTTCTTCTGTCATTACTACATGGGACCCTTTGTTTCAGTTGATCCTCTTGGACGCTTCAGTTAGGATTTCCAATTTGCCATGATTAGAAAGGAAACTTACGATGTTCAATCATTGGGTAATGCGACCAACATTGGATGTTAACATCAACTTTTGTCACTTATTGAGAAAAACTGAGATGATACAGTTTTGGTGCGTCCATTATCTCACTTAGTAAGTTCACATACCCATAATCCATCTCGAGGTGGGCTGTTGTCCGAAATTTTGCAGGGCTGTCATCTAGGTTACCATGTTACCTTGATCATAAATCAGGAACAAAAACAATGAAAAAAACTTGAGCATGATCAATGTTGTACTTTAATGTGGACAACTGAAAGGAAAATTGTTTCATGAGTCGGGGGACACATTTCTACGTGTCCCCCAAGGTATAAAACATCCATTTTAAAGACAGGATGCAAATTGGAGGTCCATCTAAAAACGGATGAAACTAATGATCCAAATGTTTTCTTTATAAAACTGTTGTTGTTTTTTTTTTTTTTTTTTCACATTTATGATCCCTATTAGAGGTTGTCCTTAAAAATTGTGTCCACAAATCCATCTCAAAAATAGATTTTTAAGAGGGGACTCATAGAAACCATGTCTGTCCAAACTAAAAGGATAGGGTTTAGGTGTATTCTGAGACACATGTTACAATGAGTCCACCCGCTGATAAGATGGTTTTTGGGTATGAAATTTTGCATTTTGTTGTGTAGACTACCACGATTATGAATTTGCAAAGAATTACATTTTGTGCTTTAAAAATTGAACTTTTTATACCTTTCTTGGACTATTCATTTCAATTAGCCAAAGATCATTAGATCCATTACGCTATTTCGAGCTCCAAATTCATGACTCGTGCAAAAAAGATTTATGTTAATTTCAGATGTGTTCAATCATGAATACCATTAAAAATCAGGGCTAACGCATGAATCGGTCCACTTAACAGATATTTTTCCAAACTAAAATACTCTCACATATATCAATTTGTTGCTACAATGTTTATGAGAGAATATAATGTCCTCGCATCCTTAAAATGTCAGGAACATCTGCTAGTGGTATTTTCTCATTTTTTGTAATTTATCCATGGTCTACTTGATAACAAGAGTGCAGGCAGATTAGTGCTAATTTTTCATTTATTCTAAAAACAATATTTTATCCAATTTACACTCAACTCGTACAAAAATTTGGAACTCATCCAAGCGTTACAATCGCATTCAAGATTATGATTCCATGATATGACCAAAACAACCTTGGAGCCCATCTTAAACTGGAAGAGCGATTGTTCACTTAGGTACATGAGCAATTTGGTTGATGTCGAGGTCGACCAAGCTCTCTTTTCCAAACAACATGAAACCAACCTTTGCCTGCATCACAAATTACTTGTAACTTATTAATGAATATGTCATGTATTTGCAGTTCTTTCAATTACATGCCAACAAAAAGATAATATTATTCGGTGGGAGCTTGGAACACTCTAATAAGCCCAACGGGCTAGATAGAATCTAGGCCCATCTAACAGCTACCACATAGATCTTCTTCTTATTCTTTGTAAGGGATTGAATTGGCCAAAAAAGCTGGGGGCATGCACTTGACCTAGGTGTGTTAAAAAAGTAATACACAAAAGTTTAACAAAACATCCCCATCCTTTTCAGTTAACGCTGGCTATCCAGATTGGCCTTGGTGGTTCAATCATGGTCGTTGGGCTCACATTGTTTGAAGAAATTCATCTATGCAAGTTTTAGAAGAACTTATGCAATATTATTTTCCTTAAGAAATTTATCAAACCATCTACAAAAGATGCACTATTTAACATTTCACCCATTTTCTTGTCCTAATTTGAGAAAACCCTAGACCTATATGCCTATGGTTCAACAATGGATTAGATGGAAACTAATCCTTTTGTTGTCCTAATTTAAGAAAACCTCAAAAGGCATACAATAATAGACTAAAACTTGTTCGATGGCTGGTTTTTTGACGTGTCCATCACATCAAAAGTACCTTTTAAGAACGGGTGCGGTTTGTATAGAGTTGTCGCTCTAAACAATCAAAGTAAAGCGCACCTTCAAATAGTGTCGAAAAATATGGTTTCTATACTGGAAATCTTTGTGATAGCCTTAAAATATATTTTCATCTCTAATTATAAAATTTAAAGCTTAAAAAATAGTGTAGATCGAGTAGATCTATGAAAACTTGAAAATCTTGAAAAATGACTGTCCAAAAATGCATTACAAGATGCATTATTTCCAAAACTTGAAATCCATTTTTTTTTTCTCATGTCCATGCATCTTGAGGTCGAGATGATCAATTTGAGGATATTTGGGCATCAAAACAACCTCTTCTGTTGAAATTTTTGACGTGCGCCCTAATTTGATTGTTTAGAGCCTCTCATTTATATAAACTTTTTCCTCTTAAGGAAACCACATATGTGACATATCATTATTTTTTAATACCAATACCTCGCTCTAAACTCTATGTGACGTATTGATATTGTAGAACAGGAAGGTACCTTGCGAGATATTTGTATTTTGGAAGTCTCCAACACTAAAAAATAATATAACATTAGTATTTTCTAAAGCCAATATCTCATTAAGTCACCCTATGACCAAAACCTCACGGGTGTTAAGTTTTCACAAGAAATTATGTTTACACAACATTATATCACTCTTAAGTACCATGTGAGATATTGCATTTTGAACAACAATATCTTACAGAGAGTTTCAAACACCAATATATCAGTAAGCCATACTAGTATCCACAAATACCAATGTCTGAAACACCAATAGTGTCACTAAGCCATACTGGTATCTACAAATACCAATATCTCATAGAGTGCTCAATCAGACATTGGTATTCAAAAATGCCAAACATCTCACGCATGTATTTTTCCTGAAAACCACATTGGTTTTGATTGGGAGGCAACATTGAAAATTGGTCATACAAAAAAAACATGTCAACCCTATGACGTGTACCTTGATAGACTTTTAGAAACCAAGACAAAAGAAATGGGTGAAATGTTATTGAATATTTTGGTTGTGATTTGATAAAACTCTCATTGATTCTACTCTACTTGCTGATAACAAAAAATATTTGGCGGATAAGTTGACTACCATAGATGAAAGAGTCGACGAAAGATAGAGCAAGTAACAAGGTAAGAAGATCTGAACTTTTAGGCCCCAGGATCTTACCTTAGAAGCATCGTGATCCACTTCTCTTAGAAGGCCTGTGAACTCTGAAAATGGACCAGACAAAACCCTAACACTAGAACCTGGAAGGAGAAGTTCAGACCCCTCTCCTGATTTGAGTTGATGAGCATCTTCACTTGCAGATGGCTTGGCACTTTTCCTCGTTCGTCTTTTTGGCTTCTCAGCAGTGTTCTCCTCTCCGTTTGTTTCATTAACGAGTCTTTCTCTCTGTTGCTCATCTTTGAATACCCGGTCTGCTTCTTCCTGTTCTACTTTAGCTCGTCGGAATATCGCTTCCATTTCATTTGCAGGCACGGGTTTGGGCTTATTGATCTGGCGTATGCTGCAAAAAACATGGTTTGCCATACAGAAGAAAATTAGAAATGAGGGTTTTGCCTATCGGCTTAGTAGCTAAGGTGTAACCACAGATAACATCCAAGGTTTGAATCTTAGCGAGAGAGAGAGAGAGAAAGAGAGAATCCCAGCTTAGCCACCAAAAACAGAAAATGAAAGGAGACAATGTAGATGGAATTAAGCATAACAAATTGTAAAGGTCAGTCAATAGTAAAATGTCCTGATGGAGTATCTAGAGAGCCATGGCCGCTTGACTGGTAAGCCATTATATAGATCTGCTAAAGGAGATATCTGATTGTGATTCTGATTTTGATTACCAGTTTTCTATATTCAAATAAATTCAGAATTCGAGGAACCAAGTTGCAGGGAGGTTCTGGTTGCCAATATTCTCTGGAGAGAAGTATACCCTCTGTGTGTAGGTGTGTGCGTGAGAGAGAGAGAGAGAGATGATAATTGCTATTAAAAAAAAAAAGTGCTTACGTATTTCCAACTTTAGATCCAATGAAGCCTCTAACACCAGTGTACTCCCTGATAAAGTCATGTATCTGCTTGTTCAAAACACATCTCAAGAATATGCAACCAGGAAAGAGTGGGTTTGCCTTCTCTGAGTAAGTACCATTCTTCAACTTCTTTTTTACATGGACTGCTGGAGCGTAAACCTGTAAAACTGTCCCTCCATATAAAAAGCACTATTTGCAAACTATGACTATAATACCACTTATAGTAATACACAAAAAATGGACTATATGATAAGTCATGAACGTATGGACCAAATAAACTAAAATTTCCAAAGCGTTGACATATTCGAGAACCAAGAAGAAACAAATAAAAAAGGTATGGAAAATTTAATAGACATTATTAGCTGAAAATGCAATTTAATCAAATCTACAGCCAATCAAACTCAGTGGAATAACTAGTGCACACGGAATATAGTTTGACCATCAAAAGCAAATGAGAGAGGACCTCATGATAAGCACTCCAACATGGATTGTTTCTTTAACTTTTCATCGTTTTCTCTATCACGTCCTCAAAGATCAAAAGTAAAAGCCGCAGCAAAATAATTTCAAAATGCAATCCCAAAGCTAGGGAGATGCAATTTTGTTGACGAGGAATAGTATCGTGCTTCTAAGTTCAATCTTTGCATTCTTCACTCTTGTTTCCCTTGTCAATAACACCGGTGATGACCCTATTTTCTTTTCTTTTTTTTCTTTTTTTGTTTTTGGGAGCAAAGCACCAGTGATGATCCTGTTGCTTTCCCATATAACTTTTGCAACCAGAAACCTCTTCAAATTCTGGTATTTGCTGAAAAAAGGCAAGAAGAAAATAGATGACTTGACTTTTCATGGACACGTAGAGCACATTGAGATCAACAGTCAATTTGTGATGAAGAACGAATCATTTTACTTCCAACATAATCTTTATCTTCGTATGAATTTCTGAGTATTAGGAGATGCTAGCTTTCTTAGTGTTGCCTAGTGCCTACTCTTGTTTCACTCTAGCAATAACACCAGTGATGGCCATATTGCTTCAGTACCAAAAAGAAATCAATTTTGATTTCCAATATTTTGAAGACAACAAAAGAAGCAGATACTTGATCTTTCATAAATAAACAAACCATTTTGAGCTGATTGTCATTTCATTAAGATTGATCATGAATTCATCCAATAAAATCATATTCTGAGCATTTCTAAGACCAGCACAAACATAATTAAAGAAAAACATGAACTGGGTGGGGATTCACACTCATAACTACTGAATATATTCTCTTATTTTTAACTTATAGCCACATCTTCAGAGTATGTTAAGACTTAACGGTACCATACATCGCCTGCACACAAGGGATTTCACATTCATATCACTTTTAGTCTTTTATCATTTACTCTATAAAATATGAAGAAAATCTCTCTCTCTCTCT